AGTTTCAAGAAAATCACAACCACGAGCTTGAAGATACATTTCATTTGAAAAGTACAAGGACTCTTTCATACTCTGACAAGGAGTTCATTGTTCGGGCGTCTACTGCAAAAGTGGGTGCTACAAAAGCTTACAAACTGAAATCAACTTTGAAAGGTGGTTTTCAATATGTAAGGGGCAAGGCTGTAGATTACAGAAATTTTAAGAGGGATATGGGCTCAATTATTGGATTCAGAGATGCTCAACTTATTGTGAACAAGATGAATGATCGGAAAAACAACTATCCGAATTATTCGTTTTTTATAGATGTGATGAGAATAATGTATTAAATGCAATGTTTTGGGCCGATGAAACAGATAAAGCACACTACAGTGAATTTGGAGATGTTATGTCACTTGATGCAACATTTCGTACAAATAAGTAAGTTTTTTTTATGTATTTATGTTTATAATCAGATGTGATTTATATTTTTTCAATAATTATACTAATGTGATTATTATTGTAATGATATATGATTGACTAATGCTGAACATGTATGGTATTTTGATTATGATTATAATCATATCTGATTGATCATATTCATATGAGATTGATGATTGATTAATGCTTTACAACTAGTCTGATGTAGTTATTTTCAAATCACATATGATTTATCAATGCTTAATAAGTACTCTGAAGTATACTGATGTGATGATGATTGTAATCATATGTGATTGAATAATTTCTCATCAAGTATTTGTAATGTGATTTTGATTATAATCATATGTGATTTATCATTTATTATCAAGTATTCTTATGTTATTTATTTTTATGTTATAAATATTTTTAATCTTATTTTGATTATTACATGAAATAGGTATTCATTGGTGTTTGTTCCATTCACTGTCATTGATCATCATAAATCATCTGTTACTGTTGGAGCCGGGTTGTTAAGCACGGAGGATGTGGATTCGTATAAATGGCTTCTTGAGCAATTTATGAAGGCTCATTCAAATAAACAACCATTACTTGTTTTAACTGATCAAGATGCAGCATTAAAGCAAGCAGTTGAGTCTGTTTTTTCTCAATCCAAGCACAGATTGTGCATGTGGCATATCATGAAGAAACTGCCAAAAAAGGTACATTTTTTTAAATCACATGTGATTTTACATAACATATATTTTTAAATCACATATGATTTTTCAATTGAACAGATTTGAATCATATGTGATTTGTTTTCTAATGTTTACATATTTAAATCATATGTGATTTTGTTTCAATATTGTAATCAGATGTGATTTTCTAAATCATATGTTTATTCTATCATAAATGATTATGAGTATAAAAACACATGATTATTCGAAATCATATGTGATTACATTTATAATCACATATGATTAAAGGATTTAAAGTTATGTGATGTGATTTTTACCTTTATATTTTAATATTAATTTATAATGTTTGAATCACATGTGATTATTACAGCTATCTGTGGAATTTCTTAAAAGCACGAATTTCAAGAAAAGGTTCAATAAACTTGTTTGGGACATTTATATCGAGCGTCATATTTTCGAGAGGAGTTGGGAACTTTTGATGAAAGAATTTAATCTTGAAGATGAGAAATGGTTTAAAGATATTTTTGAAAATAAGGAAGCATGGGTACCTGCATATTTCAATGATTTTCCAAGGTGTGGGTTGATGAAGACAACATCAAGGTCTGAGAGTATCAATTCATTTTTCAATACATATTCAGAAACTGAAAATTTCTTTCTAAATTTCATGATGAATTATGACGCTGCCATTAAAAAACAATGTTATACACAACGTGAACTTGATCGTAAGACCAAGGGAGCAAAGTATTCTTGGAGGTCACCACGTATGATAGAACAACATGCAGCAAAGGTGTATACTAGCAAAGTTTTTTTTGAAGTTCAAAAGGAGATTTATAAAGGAGGTTGGTTTTGTGAGGTTAAAGATTTAGGGGAGGGAGATGGATGGGAAATTTTTAAAGTTATTCACAAGAACCAAAAACACGAAGTAAAAGCAACATATAAGGTATTTTATTTTTTTTATTTATATCATTTATATATGTTTATATATCATACTCATCTGATCAATCACATGTGATTATAAAGATAATGTGCATATGTCGTTGGTGTGTATATTGTTTTCATGTGTGTAATCATATGTGATTGATATATTTTGTGTATATAAAACATTTTAATCACATGTGATTAAACAAGACTGTGATTTTTATTTGTATAATCATATGTGATTTTTTATTGTTACAGGTGGAACTAAAATATGATGAAAAAGAAGTGAGTTGCACCTGTGGACATTTTAATCGGTTTGGTATTCTCTGTAGACATGCTTTTAGAGTATTGATGGACAAAAATTTTAATGAAATACCGGAACAATATATTCTTAGGCGATGGACAAAGGATGTAATATCTTTGAATTATCAGTTGTCGAGAGATCGTTTTGATGAAGAGGATGAAGAAGTTACCAAACTGGTTAATGAAGTATTTTTGAATGTTGAAACTGCTTTAGATATTGTGAGACATGATAAGCAGAAGTTAGCATGTTTGGCTGAAAAAACAGAAATTTTGTTGAATGAGGTGAAGAGTAATTGTTCAAGTGACAAGCCTATTACAAATTCGGATATCCTTGAAAAACTTTATAATGTTACTATTCCATAAGAAGTCGAGATTTTTGTTCCAGAAGTTCAACATAATAAAGGATCACGAAAGAAAAGGCTTATTGGTGAAGTTGAAAAAGCAGTTATGAATGCTCAAACGAAGACCAGAAAATGCTCATTATGTGGTAAAAGAGAACCACACAACAGGCGTACTTGTCCAAGTAGATTTAATGCTCAGAATTGATGAATAGACATTTTATTAGTTTTCAATTTTTTAAGTAAACCATGTTCATAACAGATGATAATCATTTATGATTCAATTTATTTTTCCTCATTCAATTTTTTGGTTGTTTGTTTATAATTATATGTGATTCTAAAATTTTTACTAGTATAATCACATGTGATTTGTTTCAATAATTTGTCTATATAATAAGTATAAACTTTTAATAAAAGATCTTAATCACATGTGATTGTATAATATCATATGTTTTTATATACATAATCAGATGTGATTTAACAATATCAAATTTGCACATGATAATCTAAGTATATTACACATGATAATATAAGTATTATTTTTATAATGTGTACATGTTTAACCATATGTGATTTTTCTTTTTGTGTATGTATATATTGCACATACGATATTATTTTTCTAATCACATGATAATCATATGTGGTTGAAGTATAAAATATACAATGATCATATTTGATTATTTTTCTAATCACATGTGATTATTTTCTAATCACACGTGATTACGTATATAATCACGTGTGATTGTCGATATCACATCTTATTGTACAAAGAACAAGGCATTTTATAACTGTTAGAAATATCAAATTCATATGTGATTTTATAATATCATATGTTTTTATATACATAATCACATGTGATTTTATAATATCATAATGTCACATGATAGTCTAACTATAGTACACATGATAATATAAGTATTATTTTTATAATGTGTACATGTTTAATCATATGTGATTTTTCTTTTTGTGTATGTATATATATGTGGTTGAAGTATAAACCATACAATGATCATATTTGATTATTTTTCTAATCACATGTGATTACGTATATAATCACATGTGATTGTCGATATCACATCTTATTGTACAAAGAACAAGGCATTTTATAACTATTCGAAATATCAAAGTCATATGTGATTTAAAATGAAACATTCTGTAAACTTTAATTTACAGTTAAAATACTTATCTATACCTAATTTTCACAAATCCATGATATCATATATTGTCTTAATAAACTAGCAAGCATTCATGTAATTGAAAACTAAACATTGTCTAAATAAACAAACAATCAAATCATCCATTTACAGAAGTCTTTCAAACTTCAGTATTTGAATCTTGACCTTCGCATCAAACCTCTTCCCACATCTTCATCTTCTCATTCACCACTTTGACTTCCATTATCCTTATAGGCAATCACTCAACCTTTGATGGATTTCTACACAAGCATTTCTTTGATCGCTTTCTTTCTTCTCTTTATTTTGTTTATTGTACTCACGTGCAAGTTCCATGACATCATCATTCATCAAATTAATCTCAGAATTTATCACTGCATGAGCATATTTGGTTCTCACCAAATCAATCAGTGCATCTTGAGCTCCTTCATTTGGGAATCTAGTTTTGTATTCTGGTTGAGCCATATACGTTTCCATGTATCTCATCACAAATATTCCACAGTCTCTTTTGTTATGTTTAGTTTTACATAACAGATCTGGTATTTGTGGTTTGATATTTGGGTCTTGAAGGGCATAACATCTTGGATGATTTATTTCATGCAGATATCTCAAGAAGTATTTTTTCTGAAAATTAAAAAAAAATAAAAAAAATAAGAAAGTTAACCACATAAAATTAAACATAAAAAGATATTATTAATATTTACATAATCACATGTGATTACAAATATGAAATAATGTTTTCATTATTTTTTAATTCAAATGTATAATCAGATATGATTTGAAATGTTTATTCAAATGTATAATCACATGTGATTTATTTATATAATCACATGTGATTTATTTATATAATCACATGTCATTTATTCATATATGATTTATTTTATCTAATTATATGATTTTCTTATTTAATCATAGTTGATTTTTTACATACCAGGTTTTTAAGTAGAGGCATGTACTTTCCTTCAACAGTTGCGTCTGATCTGCTGTTATCCAAGATGACAATGTTTGGATTTTTTATGTTGAAAATGTAGAGAAACATGTGTTCTTCCCGACAAACAGGGAAGAATATCTGCATTTAAATATTTATTGCCATATTTATGAATATATATAAAGAATAATTTGATATTGAATAACTTACCAAATCAACATCTTTCAATTTTATTTTTTATTCATCTCCATTAAAACCAATCTACAAAGTATTTTTTGAATAGATTGTATCTATACTCATCTTTCTCCTTTGCTTCCTTTTCCATTTGTTCTTTTACTTTTTTGTCAATCTTTTTCCTTTTGTCATCTTTTTTTGGTTTAGGAAGTTGCTCATCCTCAATGTACTTTGTCTACATGTTAAATGATTTGTGGTTTTAGTGTATAATCATATATGAATTGAAATAGATAATATTATTTTAGTGATAGAATCATATATGTTTCACTTACAGTCATTTGGATAGACAAGAAAACTCTGTATGGAGAATTATTAATGTCTCGGTCCTTCTCATTGTAGTTGAGCAGTGCAGACCATGAGTCTATGACATCTGAAAATAGATATTCTCCGGGAAAAAAACTTTCAAATACATATCGGAATACGACTCTTTTGTTTATTGTGAATAACAGTTGATCACTGTAAATATAAAAAAAATTGTAATTTCAGTGTAAATATAATGTTGAACAAGTATATTTAAGATATTTTTTTAATCATATATGATTAATCACTGATTAGAATGTATAATCACATGTGATTTACTAATATTAAACAAGTATGTTAATGTTTATTTTTTGTAAATGCTAATCAAATATTAATAACTTACTATACAGTTCCCTGCAAATGGAACAACCATTCACCAAGCATTTCCTCTTCTTTTGTTAACTTTGTTTTCAAGCAAATTGCTCTCTCTTTATATGGAGATCTCCTTACTTCGGCTGGTTTTTTCTTTCTTTATTGCCGATGTTCCAGAGTTACATTTTGTTTTTCTGTAAGATCAGGCAAAGACTCTTTGTTTCGATTTTTTGAATTCACAATTTTTATCTTTGGGTGGTTCTTCGCTTTTGGATCTAGCGCATCTTTCACCAGATTTTCTTTTTCACCTTCATCTTTTTTTTGTTCAGCAGTATTCTGCAATTGATATATGGTTATAACAGTTAGAAAAATATTAGAACCATAATTTTAAAATTTTAATAATTACTGTTAATCACATATGATTGTAAGTTTAAATAATGTGATAATTAGTTTTAATCACATATTATTGTACGTCTAAGAAATAATAAAATCATATGTGATTACATTCATAAAGATATGATTTTGTACGAACAGACAAAATAATATTTAATCACATATGATTGTACGTCTAAGAAATAATAAAATCATATGTGATTACATTCATAAAGATATGATACTGTACGAATAGACAAAATAATATTTAATCACATATGATTGTACGTTTAAGAAATAATAAAATCATATGTGATTACATTCATAAAGATATGATTTTGTACGAACAGACAAAATAATATTTAATCGCATATTATTGTACGTTTAAGAAATAATAAAATCATATGTGATTACATTCATAAAGATATGATTTTGTACGAACAGACAAAATAATATTTACCTCTGTCATCTCTGGAGGTGTTAACTGACTTATCTTAAGATCATATGAGGCCATCATACTCTCTTCTTTTTTATTTTGGTATTCTTTCATGGACTTTTCATAAACAGAATTGAATTCATCATCATTTAACATTTCGGTACTGCTAAACTCTTATGTGTTTTCAAAAATACTTTCAATAGCGTTTGTTATTGTTTTGTTCACATCTTCTTCAAAAATCACATAAACAAAATAAGTTAGTAGAAAAATCACTTGTGATTATAAGTAAAATATAATGTTGTTTACCTTCTCCTTCAACATTTTGCTCTTCTTCATTATCACCACCTTTTTCATTTTCAACACCTTCATCATGCAAATTCATGTCATCAAAACAATTATCGTTATTGACTGTCTTTTTAAGTATTGTAATCAATTGTGTGTGGTTATAGTAAAACAAAATAGTTTTTGTTGATTATGATCACATGTGATTAGTTATATAGGAACAATATACTTTTTATCAATTATGTTCACATGTGATTATAGATAAATATTGATATGTTTTACTAAAACATATCAACATTTATAGACAATTATTAAGAAATAGTTTCATAATATTTAATCAATTACATTAAAAGATTTTTAAAATTTTCAAATTACATACAATAGAATTTAAATTAATCAATACATATACATAAAAAGTAATTATCATTCAATACAATATTTTTATCATTCAATACAATATTTTTATCAGATAAATATGATTGGTACCTTCTCCTCGAACAACATTTGTTCCTTTCAATTCTGCATATAAGTAGATTATGTTAGTTATCATATATGATTGTAAAAATATATTTTTTCATAATTTTATATATACAGAAATATATACTTTTTCCTTCTTTCTTTTCACCAATTTTCCCCTCCATATTTATCCCCTCTACACCTGATATATAATTATAAAAAATTATTAATCATATATGATTAAAAGAATTAATTACACAAAGATATTATATTTATGTTATTATAATCACATGTGATTATAAGGTATGTAATGACATTTATAATCACATGTGATTATAACGTATTTAATAACACTGTTTTGTTAATTATAAGATATGATTTTCAATATATTTATATTTACCTTCTCCATCTCTTTGTGGTTGTTCACCAGTTATTGCTTCTATTTTCTTATCATTCTTCCTTTCTATATTCATCCCCTCCACAGCTGAATACAATTAAAAAGAAATTATTAATGATTTGTGAATGTAATCACATGTGTTTACATAAATTATAATTACATTTGATTACTTTATTAATATATATTGTTGTTTACCTTCTCCTTCAGCATTTTGTTCTTCTTTATTATTACCACCTTTTTTATTTCCAACACCTTCATCATTCAAATTCATGTGATCCAAACCTTGATCATTATTATCATTTTCATCTTTCTCACCATCTGCATATATAAAAAATTTGTAGTTAATCACATGTGATTTACATATAATAAAAAATTGTTTTTAATCACATGTGATTGTAAAAAGTTACTTCTTAAGAATCACATATGATTGATTAATCATATGTTATTAAAAAAAAATATTGTACAAATATATTTGTATTGTTATGTGAATATAATCACATGTGATTACAAGAGATGTAATCATATATGATTATTATGCTTACAAATATATTATATTTTTATTTTCAATATATTTATATTTACCTTCTCCATCTCTTTGTGGTTGTTCACCAGTTATTCCTTCTACTTTCTTATCATTCTTCCTTTCTATATTCATCCCCTCCACAGCTGAATACAATTAAAAAGAAATTATTAATGATTTGTGAATGTTTACATAAATTATAATTACATTTGATTACTTTATTAATATATATTGTTGTTTACCTTCTCCTTCAGCATTTTGTTCTTCTTTATTATTATCACCTTTGTCATTTTCAACACCTTCATCATTCAAATTCATGTCATCCAAACCTTGATCATTATTATCATTTTCATCTTTCTCACCATCTGCATATATAAAAAATTTGTAGTTAATCACATGTGATTTGCATATAATAAAAAATTGTTTTTAATCACATGTGATTGTAAAAAGTTACTTTTTAAGAATCACATATGATTTAGTAAAATATTACTTACCTGTTATTTTAATATCTTCACCTCCCTCATCTTTATTTTTTCGTTGCTGTTCCTCTCCTCCTTCAAGATTCTCATTTTCTTGTCCCGTAACTGCATATAATTTAAGATAAGTATTTAATCACATGTGATTGTATAGAGATTTTTTTAAATACACTTACCTCTTTCAATATTTTCCCCTCCGACATTATTTTTCTTTGATTGATCATTATCATCTCCATTGTCATCATCATCATTACTATTGTCACTCTTATCTTTAAAAATTGCATCAAAGCTAATTTTCAAATGATTAAGGGTTATATTTTCTGGGAATTTATTTATACCATCTTCAATCATCATATGTAACTTCTTATACTTATTCATAACCACATGTTCATAAGCCTACATAATAAATGAATTAAAATATATATTAATATATATAATGTAACATGTAAAATATTAGTAAATAATAATGAGTTTTCATATAATTGTTGCAATTAAATTTACCTCCTCATTCAATTCTTCATCAACATACTCATCATTGAAATCCCCTGTTCCAAAATCACCAAGCTCATCCTTTTCAAAAGTTTCTCTCATCTTTATTTTCTCTGAAGTCCAATGGCAGATCATTGGACGTGTTCTTTCAATGTTAAGTACATCAGATTTGATTCTGACTAGATAAAGCAACTGCAAAAAAAATTATTAATTTTGTAACAAATTCTACTAATCGTATATGATTTAAGAATATGACATTTAAATCACATGTGATTATAGATACTCATGTTAGAACATACGTTATAAATAAATAAAAATCATATGTGATTTTAAAGATATTTAAATAGTGTAAAACATATTAAACATACCACCAAATAAGCAGATGGTCCATTAAAATTGCTTGTTGAATTTGATGGATCAAAAGACTGTTTGTTTTTAACCAAACAATCTATCAGATAAGAACACCAGTCGATGTTTTCTATTTTCGTCTTGCTTGTTATGTAGGTCAATGGGTTGGTGTTTGCTTTTCCTAAAGAGCTTGATTCTATCAGCGAGTTGATCAACAAAGCTATGAAATTCGTCTTGAAATTCATATCTGCCTTGTTGGTGGAAACAATCTTAATCTTTATATCTTGAAGTCGAATCATCTTCTTGTCATCAAACTGGTTTGTCCATTCTTCATAACATTTATCTTCTTTTGTTCTGAATGTAAGTTTTGAAAACTGTTTTCTTCCCAAAGGAAATCCAAGAATTTCTTTGATGGATTCTTTGGTGACATCAATAACTCCTTTTTGAAGAACTATCTTCTTTGTTTTTGGAGTTAAAATTCTTAAGAACAAAGCAGCTTAAGGCCCCTAGGACCTCTGACATCTTCATATTTAATATTCCCCCAAAACCCATCTGTCTGACACAATTTTTTTGTACTTCATTGAGGCCTTGTATAACAGACAACAAAGCTCCAGGTGTACATCTATCATCAAATATATCACATAATGAATTTAATTCATATGTTATGATAATAATTAATGAAGGTATTATACATGTTTTATAATTTTACCACATGTGTGTTAACTGAAAAATACATGAAATATGTTTTGAATAATCACACATGATTGATTTTTAAATCATATATGACTTAATAAATTTTTGTATAATCACATTTTCGTATATAAAAGATATTAATCACATGGTGATTCATCTTTGAATCATATATGATTAAATAAATTATCTTATTTGTATATTGATTTTTTTCATACATAAAAGATATTAATCATATGTGATTTAATAAAGGTATTCGTATATCACATATGATTTAATAAAATTATTTTTTTGTATAAAGTTGTTAATCACAAAGTTATACCTGTTTCTGATTGTATCAAAATGCTTCTTTATTATCTTCTTCTTTCTTTTCTTTATATCTTTTGTTGCAGAATCGGAATCATCTTCATTTTCATCAAGTCGTTGATCTTTACTTTTTGAAGATATGGCTTTTCTTTTTCTTGACTCAGTTTTCTTTTCAGTTGTTATGAAAATAATAATCATATACTAATTGAGAATCAAGTAATAATTAATAATTATGTGATTTTAAATACATATTACAATCATATGTGATTGAATTATACATTTGTCGTGTTTTAACTTGGACCTTGTTTCTGTTGTGTCTTCTTCATTTGATCTTTTTCCTTTTCCTTTAGAGAGACAAATTGTAAAAAAGGGATAATCATATAATCATATGTTTATAACATGTCTTCATAAACCATATGTGATTTAAATATACCTTTTTTTCTGTTGCTGTATGCTTTTCTTTTGTGAATACTACAATAGCTGTAATCAAATTCATATTTGTATACAAATCAATAATAAATAAGTATAAATATAGATAAAAGTCAGAATCAATAAAATAATGGTATTATAATAAAGCTTAAAGTGTTATTGATTGATGTTAATCACATGTGATTGATGATGTTTTTTGCATATAAAAGCAGGTAATCACATTTGATTAAAAACATATGGTGTTATGTTTATGTGTATAATCATATGTGATTGAGCAATACCTTTCATATTTTCTTTCTGTTGTTATCTTTGTTTCTTCTGTTACACTGTCCTTTTTTCGCTTTTTGTGCTTTTGTTTTGGATTTTCTGAGATATATAAAAATACATATATAATCAGAAAATGACAAAGTCAATTTCAGTCAGATGTGATTGAACACAGTCATATTATTTATCACCTTCGTTCGTGATTTTTGTATTTGTCCTCCTTCTGGAATATTTTTTTTTCAAATGTTTTAGTATCATCTGCAATTTCAAACGGACTTTATTTACACAATACATGAATTACAGAACACTAAATCGAGAAATTAAACTTTAATATTCGTAAAATTGAGAGTTTAGTCGTAACTTTTGAATAAATGCATATTTCATGTGTGTTGAACAAAGCAATAGAAGAAAAACTATATACTCGCAACGAGGGTTTTAGTTTGAAATAACGTTTGAATAAATGCAGATTTCATTTATATTTAACAAAAAAACTTTCAGTAAATTGTTCGACATCGAAACTAGGGTTTGATTTCAAAAAAACTTTTGAGTAATGTCGATTTCCTGTATATTGATGAACTAACAGTATTCGAGTGATATTCATAAAAAAAACTCGATAATAATGAGAATCGAGTGATATTCAGCAAAAAAAGTCAAATATGCGTTGTGATACCTTTGGATGAAGGTTTTGATGGCGTTATCTCTTTTTTTGACGACATTTCTTCATTTTCGTTGAAAATGTTTGAAAAAGGATGAAATGTTAGAGACAGAAGAGGGTTTTCTGTTGAGAGAAATGATGTATTTTGATGGCGTAAATGGAAGATTCTGATTATGTATGCACAATTCAGTTTATATTCCTTTTTACAATTATACTCACTTATTTTCTAAATGTGATATGTTTGGAACCAATTGTTAAGTTATTCACAATTATGCCACCTTCTAAATTCTACATATAAATCCCGTGGGGGTTAGGTAACAGAAAACTATTTAGCTTGTATAATTTGTCACATTTTTTCAACTTTTATCCAGATTGAGCCAATACTTTTATTTTTACACATGATAATCTAATTATTATTATTTGTTTTTGTAATCATACATGATTGATGTATAAATCATACATTGTCCTTAATAAATACAAATTAATCACATGTGATTTAAAAATTGTTTTTTGTATTTTTAATCATATATAATTGATGTATAAATCATACATTGTCGTTAATAAATGCAAACTAATCATATGTTATTTAAAAATTGTTTATAATCACATATGATTACGTATATAACCACATGTGGTTTCAACCCTTGCGGAACATGGGCTTCTCCTAGTTAAATTGTAATTTGTATGTATGCGTATGTTATACATGATAATCACATGTGATTATTTACAATATTTTATTGGATGCATATAATCATATGTGTTTGAATTATAAACCATACAATGATCATATGTGATTATTTTTCTAATCACATGTGTTTATATTAATGTTTATATGTTTAATCACATATTGTACTATTGTATTTTTTTGCTTTTATATTTATAGTCATATGTGATTGAGTATTTAAAAGTTTTTTTGTTTTTGTAATCATACATGATTGATGTATAAATCATGCATTGTCCTTAATAAATGCAATTTAATCACATGTGATTTAAAAATTGTTTTTGTATTTGTAATCATATATGATTGATGTATAAATCATACATTGTCCTTAATAAATGCAAACTAATCATATGTGATTAGTTTCAATATTTTATTGGATACATATAATCATATGTGATTATTTTTCTAATCACATGTGTTTATATTAATGTTTATATGTTTAATCAAATATTATACTATTGTATTTTTTTTCTTTCATATCATACATGATTGATGTATAAATCATACATTGTCCTTAATAAATGCAAATTAATCACATGTGATTTAAAAATTGTTTATAATCAAATGTGATTATCTATATGCTCAAACATTTAAGCTTCACATATCCATATTACTTATCAATATTAAGCTTCACATATCCATGATATCATATATGTGCTCAAACATTTATATAATTAAAACCTAATAATTGTGTTTAATAAATTACCAAGCATTCATCTAATGAAAAAGTAAACATTGTCTAAGTAAACCATCAATCAAGTTATGCATTCACAGACTTCACCATTTTCGATCTTAAACTTCACATGAAACCTCTTCCCACAATAACATTGTTCTCTCAATCTTTAATGTAGCATACCAAAAATACAACCCAAAAATTTTTGTTTGAAAACTTTACTAAACCATAATATCAAATATTAAAAGTTAAAAACCATGAATCAAGTATCTCAAAATGTCATAATAAATTTATCAAATCGAAACTAGTGTCAAGATCATATCAAAATATCAGAGTCTAACTTCCAGGCTAAAATTGTAGGGTGTGCCATGCCATCATCCCGAGCCCTTCCCTTTGCTAGCTGAAGTACCTGAAACCAGAACTGAAACTGTAAGCACGAAGCTTAGTGAGCTCCCCCAAACTACCACATACCATACTATAAAATATAAAGCACATACTGGGCCTTGCCCACTGCATCGGACCGAAGTCCGGAACTAACTACGGCCTTGCCCACTGCATCGGACTGAAGTCCGGAACTGACTAGGGCCTTGCCCACTGCATCGGACCGAAGTCCGGAACTACATCGAACCGAAGTCCGGAACTGACTAGGGCCTTTCCCACTGCATCGGACCGAAGTCCGGAACTGACTGAACATAGCATAACATAATCATAGCATATAATATGAACGCATATACTGCATACTGCATCGGACCATAGTCCGGAACACATAACACATACCATGCCTGTATCACAAAGACACCAAGCATACTGAACTACTGCATCATACTGTAATCCGGATCTACTGCTAACTAAACGGGTCGGCATTGTGGCCGTAGACCTGTTCCTACCGGAAGGAAAACTCACCTCGAAAGGCTGGCTGCTGAAATGCTGCTCGGGAATTGTCTGACTGCTGCTCCGGTAACTACCCGGCTACAATTCCCAAAAGACACTTAATCCGACACTGATAACTAATCTTAGGGTAAAATGACTATTTTACCCCCTGGTCAAAGTCAACAATCCGTTGACCTGACTCGCCGAGTTGGGCCGCCAACTCGTCGAGTCCCTATCTTTCCTTCTACTCCCTTTCCCGACTCTACTCGTCGAGTTTAGCGAAGACTCGACGAGTTCTCCTTCTATAATAACATCGAGTCAACCTTTATCTGACTCGTCGAGTTGTATGAACAACTCGTCGAGTCCTCCTTCATCATATGAACACGTCCAGTCTATGACTCGCCGAGTTGTATGAACAACTCGTCGAGTTTGTTCTTGTGGGAAGAAGATTGTCTTGGACTCGCCGAGTCAGGGCGTAGACTCGCCGAGTCCCTCTACACTCATAACCATGTCTTAACTCACTGAGTCTTTACTCCACTTGCTAAACAGACTCGCCTCTACTGAACAGGGAATCTAAGACTCGCGCCCTGACTCGCCGAGTCCGAAGAACGACTCGCCGAGTCCTTTGCATGCAGATTCTATTCAGTCGATTCTAATCAGTTTCAGTGCATCCAATTCATAGATCTAGGTTTCTGGGACAATTTGAACATGTAAAGTTGCTAACTTTACGTGTATCTATGATGCAATGAAGCAATAACACTTAAACTTGGCTATAATAGGGGTTACTTGTCTAGAACAAGGCCATGGCTGCGAAAAGGTGGCCTTCTGGAGCTCCTGGAACTCAAGAGAGGCTAGATCTGAGATATGGCTTGATTACAAAGCTTCATCACTAGGGATTTGGGGTTTTTGAGCTCAAAACCATCAATTTGGGGACAAACTAGATCTAGCAATACAATAACCAAGATGAAAGCTTTATTACCAGAAAGGATGGCCAAAGAGGAGTATAATCTGGATCTACTTCTTCTTCCTTGAGTTCTTCTACCTTCTCCTTCTTCTTCTTGCTCAACAATGCACCAAGATTCCTTCACAAGGGCAAAAAAATCACTCACACACACTTCAAGGAGGCTAGGGTTTCGGGAATAAGTCTCTGAGAGGTGAAGGAGGCTGGTTAGGGGCTATAATGGGGTTTAAATAGGGTACACTCCCTAAAAATTAGGGCTTCGTCCAGACTGGCGGACTCGCCGAGTCCGGAATATGGACTCGTCGAGTCGCCACGCCAACTCCACGTACTGACCCGCTTCTACTAGACGAGTTAGGGCCACTGACTCGTCGAGTAGCTTCTAAAATAAGAAGAAAAATAATGTTTTAAATGCATACCAGGAACGGGGCGTTACAACTCTCCCCCACTTATCTCAAACTTCGTCCTCGAAGTCTGCTGCTACTGAATCTGAAAATAACTCCGGATAATGCTCCCTCATCTCCTCCTCGGTCTCCCATGTCCATTCTGAACCCTTCCGATGCTGCCACTGCACCTTTACTAGCTGAACCACCTTGTTCCTCAACGTCGTCGACTTTCGATCCAAGAT